GAGAGAGGTTTTTGCTATAGGGCGTGTGCACTCACCAGACAGAGAGACAGAAAGCGAGAAATCACCCCCCAGGGGGATGGCCACACCGTAATCCCTTCTCCATTCTCCTCTCAGGATCTTGGGCACGCACGCACACGTGCCTGACGTGAGTTTTAAGGCACCGGGTCCGAGATGCGCACCGCGGTCGACTATGTGGGAGTCCAGCGACATAGCCATTACGCTAACTGCTGGTTCCCTTGTCCCAGTGATTTCTCACTTTCTGTCTCTCTCTGTCTTTCTGACGAGCACACGCACCCTATAGCAAAAAAACCCCCAGAAACCAAAAACCAAAAAAACCCTCCCTAAAAAAGAATTATTAAAAATTTAAAAATGTAAATATGAATAGAGGCTGAATCTCTGCTCTTTTTTACATTTTTGTTATTAGGTGTATGCACTCGCCAAAGAGACACACACAGACAAAGAGGGAAAAGTGAGAAATCACCCTGCCCTCTCGTGGTGGCCACCCCGCCAATCCCTCTGGGATTCTGGGTGTGCGTGCACATAGGCCCAATGTGAGTTTTAGGCCACTGGGCCTGGGACTCTGGTTATGGTTGGTCCCTGTGGGAGTCCAGCGCCTTCACCACCATACCACCTGCTGGTGCTGAATACAAGCTAAATCTTAAGCAGAAAGTTCTTATAAAAAATAATTATCTTGGGGCTGGCAGGTGGTATGGTGGTTGGGGGTGCTGGACTCCCACATGCTGACTGCAGTTCAAGTCCCAGACCTGGCGGCTTGCTTTCTCACTTTCCCTCTCTGTCTCTCTCTGGTCAAGTTAAAATAAATAAATAAATAAATAAATAAATAAATAAAGTAAAATAAATTTTTTTAAAAAGGAGAGAAAAATAATTACTTTCACACAGTTTCAGTGTTCCCCATTAATTCTGGGATTCTATTTTGAATAATTCTGTTAAAAACATTTTTTATAGCTGTCTTTGTAATAATAATTTTAAAAAGCCAGATGCAGAAATATATAATGAGAATGAAATAAAATTATGTGCATATACATGCATGATTGTAACCACAGAGGTGAAACTAATGGAAAATAAATGTTTATCTTTGAGTAATAATAGAACTCCAGACAATTTTTATCTACTTAATTTATTTTTTAAATTATTTCTGTGGTAAACATGCATTACCTTTTTAAAAAGAATTACTTAACTTTATTATCTATTTAAATTTGATCTGAGAGGAACAGAGAGAGAGCGAGTGAGAAAGCAAGCCACTAGTTCCGGGATCTGAACCACAGCTGACTGTGCAGGAGTCCAGTGCCCTCGACCACCATCTCTGCCGGCCCCAGCGTGCCTTACTGTTAAAATTAGAAACACTGCAATTCTGATACAGTAGTTTGTCTTTATTTTCTGGGCGGAAACTACTGATGTGCTTTAAAGCCGCATGTGCTGACTTTCAAAATAATGCCTCGGGACCAGCATTGGTGTAACGGCTATGTTGCTGGGCTCCCATGTAGTCGACCGTGGAACCGGTGGCTTAAACTCATGCCAGGCAGGATCCTGAGAGGAGAGTGGAGGACAAGTGACTGGGGCATGGCCATCCCCCCAGGGGGTGATTTTGCTTTCTGTCTCTGTCTTTCTGACGAGCACATGTGCCCTATAGCAAAAACCTCTCCAAAAAAGAAAGAAAGAAAAAAAACAATGCCTTGACATTTTTATATGATTAAATAATGTAAGCCTCTCCATGGTGTCAAAGGAGCCTGGGAGAAGAAGGATTGAAAGTGGTTTATTCATCTTCTATCCCTTTCAGATGCCGGAATTCCAGAGAAGCTCTGTGCGCATCAAGGACCCTGTGCGGGTGGAGGAGACCATCTGTGGCCTGATCAAGGGCGGGGCCGCCAAGCTTCAGGTGGGGGCGCGAGCATTTCTGTACAGCCCTGATTTTTAAGGTTCAAGCAGACTCCTGTTTGGTGAAGTCTGAACAGAGCATGCTTAGGTTGAAGGTGCCCTGAGGCAGTATGGGATCTCAGGGAGGTGGCCTGCTGAGCTGACGGTGCATACTGCCCTGTGGAAGCACAGCACATGGTAGGTAGGAGCCTCCTGGTGACCGAAATTCTCTCCAGTAAGGTACTAAGCTCATGTCGCACACAATGTTAAAACCCTCTTAAGAAAGTATATAGTTTCAAGTTGCTCTTTCATGTTTTAATTAAACAAATAATACTTCAAATTAAGATATGTCATTATTAGGGGATAATAAACTTAAAAATTTTCTCTCATTGGTAAGGAAATTTTAAATGCAAATTAAACTAACAGTCTGGACATTTTGTTTAAAAAAATCCTTTCTTGAACCATTTCTGAAACCGATTACCCAGTCTACTCTGTCTCACGCCTGGCGGGCTGTTTCTGCATCACCCCTCACTGGCCCAGTCCTCGCTGTAGGCAGGTGTGGCTGCAGCAGGGGCAGGCCACGCCCAGGGCCTGTGCGTTCTGGTGGCTACCGCTCTAGCGCTGCACCCAGCAACATGCGCCTCTAGTGCGAAGAGTAGCTGCCACCTGCTGCGTCGCGTCCAATCAGATTTCTTCGGTCATGGCACTCGGGCATTTAGGGCAGCACCTCCCAGGTCTCCCCAGGACTGAGCACGGCGCCTGAGAAAACTGACGCCCGTGCACGGCCCGGCCCTGGGAGGCATGCCGCGTGCATTTGGCTAGCACAGAAACCCTGCCATGGCTGCTGTCCCATAATGCCCTTCTCCTTTCCTTACAGATAATAACAGACTTCGATATGACACTTAGTAGATTCTCCTACAAAGGGAAAAGATGCCCGACCTGTCATAGTAAGTGGTATTCATCAACTGCTTCTGGAAAGAGTCCTGTTAAGATCCCTTTTACTTACACTAGTTGTTAGACGACTGAGTTTTTTAAAATTGTCTTCTGATCTTGAATGTAGGAGACCTCTTTTTTTGCTGTTTTTTCTTTGGTTTGCTATAGGGCACATGCACTTGCCGGAGAGAGAGAAAGTGAGAAATCACCCCCAGGCTGGATGACCACACCACAGTCCCTTCTCCACTGCTCTCTCTGGAGATGGGGGACATGCGTGACTCGCTCTCCAGCATGTTTTCTGAGCTGCAGGGTCTGGGACTTGACCGCACGTTTGGTAAATCCAGCCACCGTAGCACCACACTGTCTGCTGGCCCTCCTGTTTCTTACTATATTTTGAAGGTTTGTTTTCCCCTGTGCTACAAAAACAGGCTATTTTCCTGCATGGTTTTGGTGACAAACGGAATGGAGACATCGGAAATGTTTCTTTTGGAGTATTCACTATTCAAGAAGTACTTATTTTTCGGTTTTTGCAACAAGGCATGTGCACTGTCCTGAGAGAGACAGAGAGAGAGAGAGAGAGAGAGGGGACAAGTTAGAAATTACTCCTGGGGGGGGATGGTTACACTGCAATCCCTTCTCCTCATCCTCTTGGGATTTTGGACGCACACATACGCCTTGCGTGATTTTCAAACTGCCGGGTCCAAGACTCGAACTGTGGAGGTGGCCTGGTGGGCTCTAGTGTCTTAACCTCCATGCTACTAGCTGGTCCTCAAGAAATATTAAAATGAGTTTTAGACTTTGGGTTAATCTAAAGAAATACCATTTATCAAATCTGTATTTTCTAAGAATTTTTGTGTTACTTATGTATAAATTAAGTAAAAAGTAAGTTATTAAATCTCAACTTAAATTCTGTTGTTACAATAGTAGACTTTTTTGTTTAACTTGATAGTAACATTTTTTAAAGAATTCATTTATTTATTAAATTCTATGTTATTATTTTTTAATTTGACAAGAGAGAGAGAAAGAGAGAGAGAGAGAGAAAGGGAGAAAACAAGCCACCAGGTCCGGGACTTGAATCTTGGTCGACCATGTGGGAACCCAGCACCTTTAACCACCATGCCACCCACCGGCCCCAGTAGTAACCTCTTGAATAATATACTTGAACCTGCCAAGGAGACAGTGAGGAGGCCTCTGTTAGTCCATCTGTGAGCAGGAGTCAGGCCGGCCCCACAGCAGCATGGTTAAGCACCGTGCAGAGGAGCCAGATCCTACGTGCTACCCGAGTTGGAGGCCCAACCCCTGTGACCTTTGTCCAAGCGTACACACATGTGGCCAGGGTCCTCATGGGATAGAGAATTGGAGGAGAAAGGAGCGTGGTGTGACTAGGCCCTGCTGGGTGCTCTGTCTCTCTCTGTCTCTGTCTCTCCTGCGTATGTGCCCTCTGCAACAGTTTGGCCGGGCCAGCCACGTGGCTTGGTGAAGGTGACGGAGCCCACATGGCCGACTGTGCAGTTTCATTCCTGGACCTGGCAACTTGAAGAACACCCCAGGTGCGTGTGCTACATGCCCAAAATTCTGAGAGGAGAATTGAGGAGAAGGAATTGCAGTGTGACCATCCCCCTGGAGAGTGACTTCTCACTTTCCCTCTCTGTCTCTCTCTGTCTTTACCTGGTGTGCACCCTGTAGCAAATTTTAAAATAAAAAAAATTTTTCGAGAAATAATTTTGAGACTTAGTATTAAAAAACAATAAAAATCTTTATATCCTTTGCCCCAGTAATTTCTCTTTATAGAATTTAGTTCATATGTTTTGTTTGTTTCTATTTTTAAGTTTACTTCTTCCAAGAGAGAAAAAGACACAGAACCCCCAATAGGGCCTTGGCACTGTGATCCACCCCACCCTTCAGCGAGCCCCAGGTCCTGGGCAGGACGTGTGTGTGGCGAGCTCAGGGAGGCGTCTGAACACGGGCTGGGAGCTGTCTGTGGGGCGGCCCCACAGTGAGTGCATGTTGAGGATGCACCACAGTCTGGGCCCTTGGAGAGCTGCTGCTGCTTTTTTTTTTTTTTTAAGAATTATTTTTATTTAACTTTGTTTATTTTAATTTGACCAGAGAGGAACAGAGAGAGAGGGAGAAAAAGTAAGAAAGCAAGCTTCCAGGTCCAGGACTCAAACCACGATCGGCCACATGGGAGTCCAGTGCCCTTAGCCACCATTCCACCTGCTGGCCCCCCTTGAGTTTCTGATCAGCTCACCCAGATATAGGGCATAGCACAGACATAGTGGTAACTAGGCTCAGTGTAGTTAGTTAGGATAGCAAAAGCTTGAAAGCAGCCTAAACCGTTAGCAGATGCAGAATGAATTCTGTCCTGCTCATATACCAGGGAATATACAACAGTTAGGAATGGATTTGTAGAGAGCTTTTAATTACATGGAAAAATGAAGACCATAATATGAGATAAAAAAAAAAAAGAATTCAAAACTGCAGATTTGGGAGACAAGCAGGTAGTGTAATGGTTACATCACTAGACTCCTGTGTGTGTAGTCAATCATGGTTCAAGTCCCGGGCCTGGCAACTTAAAACTCATGCCAGGTGCATGACCAGCAGATGACTTCCACGTGGTGTGAGGTTCGAGTCCCGAACCCAGTGGCTTAACCTCATGCTGGGCATGTGTGCATCCAAGACCCTGAGAGGAGAATGGAGGAAAAGAGATCGCGGCATGGCCATCCCGCTGGGGCTGACTTCTCTCTTTCTGTCTCTGTCTCTCCAGTGAGTGCACGTGCCCTACAGCAAAAAATCTCTCTTACAAAAAATGACAAAGCTAGAGTTGGCATGGTCTCTTATCTCATTGATACACACAGAACTTTAAGACTGAATGGAAGCAGTACTAAACATTGTTAATTGATTATTGAGCGGTAAGCTGTACTTGTGTCACTCGCATACTGGCTGTACACACGTACAGGGCGCACGGTTACTCTTCAGTACCTGGCTGTGATACAGAAAGATCAGACCAGGGTTGCCCGCTCCATGCCTGGTGGCTGGGGCAGTTGGACCCCAGTGGCTGGCCAGGCGGTTCAAGTCTTGGACGTGGCAGCCTGGGAAACACGCCAGGCACATGTGCATGCCCAAAACCCTGAAAGGGGGGGAACAGAGAGGGTCTGAGCTTGATCATCCCACGAGGGTACTTTCTCCTCTTGTCTCTCCCTGGGAAGTGTACACCCCTTCTCCCCCAATAAGAAAAGAGCAGCAACCGGAAGACTCGCACGCCAGTGCAGAGGCCCAGCAGTGCAGGGCGCGTGGACAGGAGCCCTGGCAGGCTACAGCTCCTTCCGTCTCCAGCCTGCCCTGGGAGCCATGCAGCCGCTTCTGCAGTCAGGGGGCGGGGCGCTGGGGGGCCGACTGCAGGCTCATGGCCGGTGTGGCACGGCCAGCGTGAGCTCCGTGGCAAGACCTGCCTGAAGGCGCTGGCTGTGGTGGCATGTGCTATAGCCCCTGCTGCTTGGCCCAAGGCCGGGGGTCACAGCAGAGAGAGCCTTTCCTTCCAGAGTCTCACGGTGCTCATGCTTCCCAGCCCCAGTGGGGACGTTTCTTCTCATGCCTGTTTTGCTCTCTCTCTAGATGTCATTGACAACTGTAAGCTGGTTACAGATGAATGTCGGAAAAAGGTAAACTAAGTAATCCACTAAGTAATCCAAGAGTTGCTTTGCCTTCTGGTCCATGGCCAGAGTGAGAACCGCCCCGCCCAGCCTTGGTGCACGGACACGCCACGCTGCGGACTGAGCCTCTCGGGAGGCCCCTTTGTTCTTGGCCAACCGAGCACACTGGCCACCGCCGTCTAAAGGGGAGGCTGAGGCAGGAGGGTGGATACTGCCCAGAGCCTGTCAAAAATAGCCCCTCTGCCTCTCCCTTCCTTTCTGTCCCTGTCTCACAAAGAGGAACTGAGGGAACCAGCAGTTAGCGTAATGGCTATGTTGCTGGACTCTCATGTAGTCGACCACGGTTTGCGTCCCGAACCCAGTGGATTAAAACTCACGCCGGGCGCGTGTGCGTGCATGCCCAAGATCCCAAGAGGAGAATGGAGGAGAAGGGATTGCGGTGTGACCATCCCCCCTGGGGGGTGATTTCTCACTTTCTGTCTCTCTCTTTCTCTGTCTGTCTGGCGAGCGCACGTGCTCTATAGCAAAAACCTCTCAAAAAAAAGAAAGAAAAGAAAAAGAAAGAAAAGAAAAAGGAACTGAAAGCCGGAAGGGGTGCAGAATGCTGGTGCTGTCCTTGCACGTAGTAACCCGGTAAACACCGTGAGCTACGTGTGGTCAGGGTTGTGTTTTTTTGGAGAGGTTTTTGCTGTAGGGCACATGTGCTCACCACAAAGATACAGAGACAGAAAGCGAGAAATCACCCCAGGCGGTCTCTTGGGCACGCGTGCACGCACATGCACCCGGTGTGAGTTTAAGCCACCAGGTCCAGAAGCCATGTGGCCATGGGGAGTGAAGCACCTTAACCACCTCACCAACTGCTGGCCCCTCTTGAATTTTTTTTTTTTTGGGAGCGGTTTTTCCCTATAGGGCGCGTGCACTTGCCAGACAGACAGAGAGCGACAGAGAGACAGAAAGTGAGAAATCACCCCCCAGGGGAGATGGCCATGCCGCAATCCCTTCTCCTCCATTCTCCTCTTGGGATCTTGGGGTATGCACGCACATGCGCCCGACGTGAGTTTTAAGCCACCGAGTCCGGGAGGTGAACTGCAGTTGACTACGTGGGAGTCCAGCGACATAGCCATTACGCTAACTGCTGGTTCCCTAAAAAATTTTTTTCTTAATTATTTCTCCCATGAGCCAGAGAGACAGACAGACACAGAAACCACCTCTAGCAGGGTACTTTTGCCCTGGTCCAGCCCTGTTCCCACCAGCCCCAGAACCTGGGTACATGCATACCTCATACACCTAACTGGAACCTTCCCACGGGGCCAGCTGCTCAGAAAGCTGCGATTACCACTGCATCACTGTGTAGCCCGTGTCCTCCAAACATTCTAAAGAAAAAATTTACAGCAACCGTTTAATAACAAAACTTGTATTAAAAACTCTTGGGGCCAGCAGGTGGCGGAGTGGTTAAAGTGATAGACACACCCCCACCCCCAAGGTGATTTATGGCCTTCTGTTTCTCTGGCAAGCACATGTGCCCTATTGCAAAAAAAACACTGTTTAAAAAAAGATAACAAATGAATATAAAAAATACAGCTCTTGGGATGGCCAGTAGCATGGTGGTTAAGACAGCTGGGTCCCACAGGGGCAGCTGCACGGCGTGAAAGTTGGACCTGGTGGCTTAGAAAACATGCCGTGTGTGTGTGCGAGTGTGTATGTGTGTGTATGGTATATGTGTGTGCACGCACGCACCCAGAATCACAAAGGGAGGGTGGAGGGGAAGGGATTGTAGTGTGGCCATCCCCTCGGGGAGGGGGGGGTTTCTCACTTTTCCTCTGTCTCTCTCTCTCTCTATCTCATTCTCCAGAGAGCATACTTGCCCTGTAGCAAAACCAAAACGCAAAACCACTCTTAAATGATTATCTAATACTCTGGTATTTTATATTAGTTGAAGGAAAACAAAAGTACTTTGGTTTTATGTAGGGTTGGCTCCTAAATTGATTGACAGATTGTTTCAGTATTTTGCTTGAATACGTGTCTAGTATAATATTGTAACAGACTAAGACTCAACCATGAATTAAATTCTTTTATGGAAAACTAAACTTTTTTTGTAGTAAAGTAATTATTCATTGGTTTCACTGAATTGCTGCTGTGTAAAGTACTTTACACAGGAAAGGACCTTTCTGCAGTGTGTTTGGTTGCGTGTAAAGTAGTCTGATCAGTGACGTTTAGCTAATTTGTTCTTTACCTATAAAGTAGTTCATGGAACTGGTTTTTCTTTTTGTAATACTTAGCATCTAAATTCTGTAATCTTCATGATTTGATTTATTTTTTCCAGTTACTACAACTAAAGGAAAAATATTATGCTATTGAGGTTGACCCTGCTCTTACTGTGGAAGAGAAGTACCCTTACATGGTAGAATGGTGAGTACTGAGCGGGACGGTTAAAGACATGAGACGGCACTGTGTCACATGGATGGCTTATCTCCCTTGTTCCTGTAGAAACAGGTCCCTAAATTACGCAGCGAGTTAGAGCAGAGTCACATGTAACAAAATGAATTCCAATTCTCTGACCACTCTTTTTTCTTGAGAGACAGAGATTCTTATTATAGGGCAGAGAGACAGAGACAGAAAGTGAGAAATCACCCCCCAGGACAGTGGCATGCACAGCCCCTTCTCCAGTCCCCTCTCGGGACGTTAGGCACGCACGCACACGCGCCGGTGTGATGTCCAGAACTTGAACCTCGGTTAGACACATGGGAGTCCAGCGATGTAACCATCCTGCCACCTGCTGGTCCCTCTTTAATCCCTCCTAACAGACGAGGATTTGTTTTGTTTATTGAAGATAAAGTTCAATATTGAATAAATTATATTCCTTAAGTCTTTTTTTTTTAATTTCTCTAG